ACCTACACATGGTGTGTGCCAGTGTTTGGTAAACCTCTACAGAAAACCTTTTTGTCAGAGCTGGAAGTTGGTTACTACAATGTAAGTTACTATTACATTTTATCTATGCTTGGAGATCTGTCTTAAGACTCTTCTTGTCTTTGTGAGGACCTTGGAAGGAGTATCCATAAAGAAAGAATGGAAGATTATGGTTCCATATTATCGATATGTGTATCATTACTCACAGAGGGTAATAGTACCCAGCACTATTGGGTGTTGTCCCACGGAGTGTTCACAGTGTTGCAGTTGATCACAGAGTGCTCACAATTTGGGGCTTAGTGTATTATATATTATATGTATATATATATATTTATATATACACATATAATGTTTTTTTTTTTTTTCTCTTTCACATTTTTGCGTGATTTATGTTTGCACAATATTGGTTTATTTTGAAAATTTAAAAGGTAATGCACTATGGTGTATATTTTTCATTTTTTTCGAGGTTTCATTGGATTAACCGCATGCCGCCCAGCCACTGTACATATACAGTGGCAGGGCGGCACTCACAGGCAAAACCACGTTTTAAGACGTGTGTTTTGTACACAAATAGGGGGCGCGCTCGAGGCGCGCCGCCGCCCTATTTGTCCCGCGGATCACCGCCGCAGATGTCAGTCGCCGGGTCACAGCCGCTCCTTAGCAGCTATGTCCCGGCGATCGGCGGCAAACAGTGACAGAGAGCACAGCTGCAGTAGCTGTGCTGTCTGTCACTTCCTTGTCAGCTCGAGGATGAGCTGATCGAGAAAGAACAGTTTCTCTTTCTCGATCAGCTTTGTCCTGCCCAGTACACACCCCCCGCCCCCTAGTAAAACACTCACCTCACTCCTATAACCCTTCCCTGCTAAATAAAGTTAACCCCTTCCTCCCCATTGCCATTAGTACAGTGTCAGTGTTTTTTTTTTTTTGCCCTGATCACTGTATTAATGTTTTTGGGGATGTCAGTGACCCCAAATCAGTACCCCCCAATGTCAGAATGTCTGCCGCAGTCCCGGCATAAGTCCCTGATCGCTGCCATAATACGCTGATCGCCGCCATTATCGGTATAAAAAAAAAAAAACTAAAAATCCCAGTATCTTTCCCGCCATTTGTAAACGCTATAACTTTCACGTAAACCAATTAATTTACACGTATTGGGTTTTTTTTTTTAGTAAAGACGTTGCAGAATGCATTTTGGCAGAAATGTATGACTAAATTTGATTTTTGCATTTTTTTTTTACTGGACATGTTATATAGCAAAAAGTCCAAAATATTGTTTTTTTTTCCTCAAAATTGTCAGCCTTTTTTTTTATAGCGCAAAAAATAAAAACCGCACAGGCGATCATATACCACCAAAAGAAAGCTCAATTTGTGGGAAAAAAAAGGATGTAAATTTTATTTATTTTTTTATTGCATGACCGCGCAATTGTCTGTTAAACTAGCGCAGCGCTGTATAGCAGAAAAATGGCGTAAATTGCAGTATTTATACCATAGTTTGTAGACGCTATAACTTCCACACAAAGCAATCAATATACACTTATTGGGATTTTTTTTACCAAAAACATGGAGCAGAATACATTTTGGCCTAAATTTATAACCAACTTTGAGTTTACTATATATTTTTTATAGCTGAAAATAAAAAATATTGTTTTTCTTCAAAATTTTTGGCCTTTTTTTGTTTATAGCGTAAAAAATAAAAAGCGCACAGGTGATCAAATTACACCGAAAGAAAGCTCCATTTGTGTGAAAAAAAGGACGTAAATTTCGTTTGGTGCAGCATTGCATGACCGCGCAATTATCAGTTGAATTAGTGCAGCGCCGAGTAGCAAAAAGAGGCCTGGTCATTAAGGGGAGTAAATCCTCTGGAGCTCAAGTGGTTAATAGGAGTCAATCCTACTTACTGGATGGAAGTTTGGATCTTTGAACTTTATTGGACACATGTGAGACTTTTGTTGAATTGGACACTTAGGATTCATGGATTTTATTTTATTTTTCTATATTTATATTTATTTATCTTATAGATAGTATACCACAAAAAGGTTTAAATATAGTAAACTTTCTAGGGAGAAAGTGTGACTTTTTGGTGGGTTCACAGAATAGAAGGTTATTAATTGAGTTGAAATGCTGCGCAATAGTTGATAATATTCCATCATGGCCGATCGACTCAGTTTGATCAAATCTGATCATGTCGATTGGGAAGAAGCTATGGCCATTGGATTGTTTGCAGATTTGATCGTATTATAAAACTGGAGCATCTGTAGTCACTAGAGAATCAGCAAAGCTCTACCCTTTTGCTGCACTTCTGATCAGGAGGCATGTGTAATGAATGTCTCCCCCATGTACATAGATAATGACAACCCAGGGGCGGACTGACCATTTGGGAACTCGGCCACTGCCCAAGGGCCCGGTGTCAGTAGGGGGCCCCATGAGATGCCCCTGGTGCCTTTTTCATAGGCTTTTTTGAGTTTGGGCAAGGACACACAGGGGCCCCATGATCCCCTATTGCCCGGGGGCCCCATGAGATGCCCCATGTGCCTTTTTCATAGGCTTTTTTGAGTTTGGGCAAGGACACACAGGGGCCCCATGATCCCCTATTGCCCGGGGGCCCCATGAGTTGTCAGTCCGCCCCTGTGACAACCCCTACTCAGATGCCCTCATTTCTGCTCCCCGGATTAGGACTTGATAATAACAGATTCCGGCTTGCTCCTCTGTGAGTCACCTCGCTCAGGTCACTCCGTGTACAGACAAGCTTTACATTTAAAGGGACAAAATCAGACTGATATAATTTCCAGCCCTATGTAATGACTCATATGAAATCACCTTTAATTGCCTTAATCGCTTAATTACGTTTTTTTGGATGGTTCCTGACTTTGTTATGTCTTTCTGGCTCCACCCACTTTTTCACAAATCCTTTAGTTGCCATATATATTCATGCACATGGCGCCCCTATGTGTAACTGATGGAATTGCTGTAACTTGACTGTCACCTGTGATGCGCTAGATCAGTGTTTCTCAACCTTTTTTCAGTCAAGGCACCCTTAAAAATTCTGCACAATCTCAAGGCACCCCGTTCTAAAATGTAAAAACCTATTCTATACCCATCCAGTACACCAAATGTTAGAGGTGATTTATTCTTTCAAAGCAAATACACCTTTGCACACTGGCACTGACTAGTATTCCAGTGTAGAAAGAAAACAAACTCTCTTGCGCTCTATGACCCATCACGGGGTAGGTAGAGGGAGTCAGGACTTGGAAGTTTCTACCACCAGTGCAGATGGGGTTGTGCAGCTCCAAACAAGGCTGGGGAAGCCCGACCAATACTGTGAAGTGAAAACAAACAAAGAACGCACCAACCATGCGCATTACCTCAGTAAGCCAAAATGTATTAATTACAGAATAATACTCACAAACACTGAAGAATATAATGCATGTAAGTCCTCAAAGGGACTAAGGATAAAAGCAGCTTGCGCGAGTCCCATCAGAGGAGTGGACATTCAGGGAACAGCTGACGCGTTTCGAAGGACGAACCTTCTTCATCAGAGCTTGCTGAGGTAATGCGCAAGGTTGGTGCGCTCTTTGTTTGTTTTCGCTTCATAGTATTCCAGTGTGTCTCTCTCATTTTCTCTCCCTCACTCCGCTAATGTGACCCCAGTGCTGATGGAGAGGGGCAAGAGAGGGCCAAACATGGATGATGTGCATGCACCTGATGTCGTTCTTATCAACTGATGATGTCATTGGTTCTTAGGATGCTGACAGCTAGAAGGTCATAAAAGTGCACCATGAAAACCTGTAACTTTGTGTACTAAAAGCCAGGATTGATCCATCTGCTGGCTTGTATATAAGTTTTGGGCATTTTGCCACGGCACCCCTGAAGAAGCCTGAAGGCACCCCTGAAGAAGCCTGAAGGCACCCCAGAGTGCCTGGGCACCCTGGTTGAGAAAGGCTGCACTAAATTGCCAAAAGTATTGTTCGGCCTGCCTTTACACACTCATACACTTTAATGGCCCCCCAGTCTTAGTCCGTAGGGTTCAATATTGAGTTGGCCCCGCCCTTTGCTGCTATAACAGCTTCAGCTCTTCTGGGAAGGCCGTCCACAAGGTTTAGGAGGGTGTCTATGGGAAGGTTGGACCATTCTTCCAGAAGCACATTTGTGAGGTCAGGCACTGATGTCGGGGGAGGAGGCCTGGCTCACAGTCTCAACTCTAATTCATCCCAAAGGTGCTCTATGGGGTTGAGGTCAGGACTCTGTGCAGGCCAGTCAAGTTCCTCCACCCCAAACTGGCTCCTCCATGTCTTTATGGACCTTGCTTTGTGCACTGGTGTACAGTCATGTTGGAGCAGGAAGGGGCCATCCCCAAACTCTTCCCACAAAGCTGGGAGCATGAAATTGTCCAAAATGTCTTGGTATGCTGACGCTTTAAGAGTTCCCTTCACTGGAACTAGGGGGCCAATCCCAACCCCTGAAAAACAACCCCACACCATAATCCACCTCCACCAAACTTTACACTTGGCACAATGCAGTCAGGCAAGTACCATTCTCCTGGCAATTGCCAAACCCAGACATGTCCATCGGATTGTCAGACAGAGAAGAGTGATTGGTCACTCCAAAGAACACATCCCCACTGCTCTAGAGTCCAGTGGCGGTGTGCTTTACACCACTGCATCCAACACTTTGCACTGCACTCAGTGATGTAAGGCTTGGATGTCGGGTTGCCACCTCATCCCTTTAAAACTGAACCCATATTATTTATACAGCTTCTGAGGCAAATGTATTGCAGATAAGGCACTAAGTGAGTTTAATTACCACCTTAATCAGCCCCAGAACCTGTGTAATCAATATGTGTTCGGTTTTAAAGGGATGAGGTGGCAACCTTACTTGGATGCAGCTGCTCGGCCATGGAAACCCATTCCATGAAACTCTCTACACACTGTTGATTATAAGTTAATGTTGCGCTCCACTAAAAGTGTGTATAATAAATTCAAACATAATATTTATGAATATAAAGTGCTGCGTGTTATAAAATAAATATATTTATCTGTGTATACTTGTAATTCACACACACAATTTCACAATTATTATACTGTATGACTTACAAGTATACACAGATAAATATATTTATTTTATGTGTCATGACCAGGGGCGGACTGACCATTTGGAAACTCGGGCACTGCCCGAGGGCCCGGGGTCAGTAGGGGGCCCCATGAGATGCCCCTAGTACCTTTTTCATAGGCTTTTTTGAGTTTGGGCAAGGACACAGGGGCCCCATGATCCCCTATTGCCCGGGGGCCCCATGAGTTGTCAGTCCGCCCCTGGTCATGACCACAGAAATACTAGTTCTAGGAGAGTGTCCCCCCTTGGTGCGCGCCTCTGGGGGTGCATTCTAGGAGGACATCATAGGACACTCTCCTAGAACTAGTATTTGTGTGGTCATGAAACACTGTACCCAAACCAGATTTATATAACTTTTAACATAGAACTTTTTTTCAATAGATTTTTCTTTTGGTGGTATTTGATCACCACTAGGTTTTTTCTGATCACATGACTAGGTAAAAAGCCAATCACAGCGGACTTTTACCACGCGATCAGCTGTGTCCAATGGCACAGCAGATCTCAAAGTAAATACAGTTGCCGGTTATCGGCAGCACTTTCCTCACGCTGTGACAGGAGGAAAGTACTGCTGATACCCGGCAAATGTCACAGAACAAAACTGCACTGCCCATCAGTGCCACCCACCAGTGCCAACCATCAGTGCCCAGCAGTGCCAACCATCAGTGCCCAGCAGTGCCAACCATCAGTGCCCAGCAGTGCCAACCATCAGTGCCCAGCAGTGCCACCCAGCAGTTGCGCCCATCAATGCCGCCCATCAGTGTCCCCTATCATTGCCCATCATTGCTGCATATCAGAGCAGCATCATCAGTGCCTCCTCATCAATGCCCACCAGTACCGCCTCATCAGTGCCTCCTATCAGTGCCCATCAGTGCTGCCTATCCATGCCACCTCATCAGTGCCTATCAGTGCTGCCTATTAGTGCCCATCAGTGCTGCCTCATTAATACACATCAGTGAAGGAGAAAAATTTCCTGTTTGCAAAATTTTATAATAGAAACAAAGAAAAAACATTTTTTTTTTTTTTTTTGTTAAATGCAAAAAAAATAAAACCCCAGTGGTGATTAAATACCACCAAAAGAAAGCTCTATTTGTGTGAAAAAAATGATAAACATTTCATATGGGTACAGTGTTGCATGACCGCGCAATTGTCATTCAAAGTGCGACAGTGCTGAAAGCTGAAAATTGACCTGGGCAGGAAGGAGGTATAAGTGCCTGGTAGGCAAGTGGTTAAAGTAGCGCAGTGCGGTGTATTGAAAAATGTCTTGGTCATGAAGGGGGTAAAACCTTCTGCAGCTGAAGTGGTTACTGTTAAAGCGGAGTTCCACCCAAAAGGGGAAGTTCAGCTTTAAGCCTTTGTCCCCCGCTCCCCATTAAGGATTGGCACCTTTGGGGAGCGGGTATCCGAATTTGACAGATACCCGATCCCACTTCCGCTGTGATCACCTAGCAATCGGAAGTTGTCCCCCCCCCCCCTCCCCATAGTCTTCCCGGGACACATGACAGGTCCTAGAAGACTACGGGACCATTCACAAAGTGCAGCGCTTCTTGCGCATGCGCAGTGGGCACCCGGCTGTGAAGCCGCAAGTTGTCAAAGCCGGGTGCCCACACTGAAGATGCCGACACCAGGGAGAGAAGACGGCCATGGTGAGGACACCGCTGGACCGAGGGACAGGTAAGTGTCTGTATCGTAAAAGTCAGCAGCTACAGTTTTTTGTAGCTGCTGACTTTTTTTTTTTTTTGCAGCTGGAACTCCGCCTTATAGGATTGATAATAAGCGCCCTCTAGTGGCTAATCTACTAACCTACAAATCTCTACATTTCAAAAACTAAATATTTTGGAAGGTAAGGCTTTTGAAAATGTAAACGTCACATAAAACATTACCTTGAGCCTGGGTTCACACTGATGGGGTGTGAAATTCGTAGCGTTTTCTGTGTGAATTCCGCACAGCATCACAATCACACCCCGTTCATGCGAACCACCCCGAAATCAGTCCGCAAAACGCAGTGCGATGTGCAGAATCGGATCGCATAGGTGTGAATACCCATGCGATCCTATCTTGTGCGAACCAAAAAAAAGGTCCTGCTCCTTTTTGGTGCAGGTGCGGTGCGACTAGAGCCATACAAACTTTTACCTCCTTCCTGTCCAGGCCAATTTTCAGCTTTCAGTGCTGTCGCACTTTGAATGACAGTTGCGCGGTCATGCAACACTGTACCCATATGAATTTGTTAGCATTTTTTTTGAGACAGATAAAACTTTATTTTGATGGTATTTATTCACCACTGGGATTTTATTTTGCTATATAAATGAAAAAGTCCAAAAATTTTGAAAAAAGTGTTTTTCTTATAAAATTTTGCAAATAAATAATCTTTCTTCATAAATCATAGCCAAAATTTATTCAGTTATCTTTTAGTAAAAAAAAAAAAATAACCCAAATTAGTTTATAACCAACAATTATAATTTTTCAAAAATTTTGTTTAATTTTATATTATTATTTATGTTTTTTTTTTTTACATACTGTCACCCTAGCAGTCGATGTCACCATGGTGACACTGTACTACTTGTGGGGGGTGATGGAGATTTTTTTCTTTATTTACACTGATTGCTTTTACACCCATAAAGGCTGTAAAAGCAATCATTTCTCCTTCTCTCTGGCTGCATTCTTGCAGTCATTGAGAACTACTGTGTGAGCTGTGATTGGTCACAGCTTGTCACATGGTACAAGGCTGTTGTGAATACCCTTGTACCATATGACCTCTGTGATCATTCACAGATTTCACACGTAGTAAGCAATGATGTCACAAGTGACATCTTGCTTACACCTATTCATGTGATCACTGATTGGCCAATCAGTGATCACATGATCGGGACCTCACACAGAGGTCCCGTACAGCAATCAGTGTTCCACTGTGTCCGGAGGACACAGCGGGCACCGGATCGTGGTGCGTGCACAATCCAAAATGGTGGGCACTGTTTATGAACGGCAACCCGCCCCTGGACTGCCACAGTCCAGCCAGTTATATACAGCGGCCGGACGGAAAGTGGTTAAAGCTGAACTCCCGAACAAGCAAATACTGTCTAATTACATTCATCATGTCTATTCTTTTTTGAATCTGGATGTGCTTTGTGTATTTCTTCCAGATCTGTGCAGTAATCCAGTGTGAGACTTTCCCTCTGTGCAGGAGCTTCCTGTAATGAAGACTGGTCACTGCTGCTCTCTCTCTTTGTGCAGGGTGACAGGTCTTGTCTCCACCCCCTTGGTAGTTTTCTGCAGGCAGCCTGTAGTGGGTGGAGCTCCTGGGTCCCTCCCACAGCTCTTCTCTCTGCACAGGCTATGTACAACAAAATGATGATGTCACTGGTACTTTTACAAGGTAATAACTTGGTTTGGCAGGCACAACATTGATTTCTATCCTTTGTAGCTTTTGATGAATATGTTTAAATGAATGTTTTTGTGCCTGGAGTTCAGTTTTCACCCCTTGCCCTCCTGAGGATTTACCCCCCCCTTCCTGACCAGGCCATTTTTTGTGTTACGACGTTACGTTACTTTAACTAAGAATTGCGCGGTCAAGCAACGCCGCACCCAAATGAAATTTACGTCCTTATTTTCCCATGAATTGAGCTTGCTTTCAGTGGTATTTGATCGCCTGTGCGGTTTTTAGTTTTTGCGCTTAAAAAAAAAAAAAAACAACAATTTGGAGAAAAAAAAATTATTATTGACTTTTTGCTGTAAAACATATCCAGTAAAAAAATAAAAAAAATATTAAAAAGTGAAAATATTTTTTAAATATATTCTTCAGATTTTTTTTAACATATAAAAAAAGTAATTTTAACATATTTTTACATATATTTGAAAATGCATTCCAAAAAATGTAGATTTGTGTTTTTAAAGACATACAGTATATTTGAAATGTATTTTTTACAAATATTTTTCTTGTATTTTGTAATATAATCGCATTTCAACATGCAGTGTGTGTATATATATATATATTTTTTTTTTATTTTAAATTTTTATTTATTTATTGATATATATTTTGAAATATATTGAATACGGACAAAATTGTAGCATTTCAAATATATGGCAATATATTTTGGAAGAATATTTTAAAATATATTTCAAATATATTTTTTCTTCCATGTGGGTAGTGTCCCCGTTGCAAGATTTTACCTCTATTTCTGTTCTGGCGACAACCCAAAATGTGGGATTCTTTTCACTTTTGGGGATAATGGTAAACAGGACAAATAGGGAGCATGAATCTTCCTAACGGGGGCACAGACTGCAATAAAAACTAACAGGGGTTCCACTCTGTCCAAAACGAAAGCGGTAATACCATTTGGGAAATATGTGATATAAATGATGCCCCTAGATGACGAAGTGCCTTGTGCAATGAAATTCAAGTTTCCCGATACAGTCCAGTCAAAATCTGGGCATGGAATTGCAGGATGATCTTCTTCTTACTCCTACATATGAGATTCCAAAGACTTCACTTCATGGCAGTACTAGTTGGTTTGAATCCCAGCCACGGCACCACCTGCCTGGATGTTCTCCCTGTGCCTGTGTGGGTTTCCTCCGGGTACTCCGGTTTCCTCCCACCTCCAAAGACACGCTGGTAGGTTAATTGGCTCCTGTCTAAATTGTCCCTAGTATGTGTATGTATGAATGTGAGTTAGGGACCTTAGATTGTACGCCCCTTGAGGGTTAGGGACTGATGTGAATGTACAATATATGTGTAAAGCGGAGCGTACATTGATGGCGCTATATAAGTACCTGAAATAAATAAATAAATGTACTAAATGGGTTTTTTTTTGTTTTTTGTTTCGTTAATTAGAACTTCTGAGATTTAGTTATTTGTGGAAAACCAGGTTAATGAATACAGTATGTAGAGCCAACATTTCATAATCCTGATCTGCGCCTGCCTTACCATGTACCTGTATGAAAAAGTCTCCTGTTCTCTTTGCATTGCTTCCTTTGCGCAAAATCCCTGGCGATCCTGCCAGTCACTCTGCCTTCCTATCAAAAACTGACCACACTAGGCATGAGAGCACAGCATGGTCAGTTCTCTAGCTGTGCTGGGAACTCAGTGTGCTCAGACTTATGCTGACACGCCCCCCCCGGCCACACACAGCCATTTATTTAGAAGACCAGTGTTCTGCTGTTTCTCCTCTCCCAGCTCTATGAG